TGATCCACGCTTAAGCAAGGTCAGCGGTGGATACTCTAGGGACGAATAAATAAAAAAAAGTAGATAAATAAAATTATAATTTTTTTAATTTAAGTGTTTAGCCCTCCTTGCACACATGGATCCCAGAGGGATTAAAAGAACACTCCTCGTTGCGACGGTGGGACTTTTGGTTGCGGCAGTGCAGCTAGTAACATGAGATTGAGCTAACACAACTTACACAAGGGAAAGGAAAAGAAAAGAAGAAGATACAACCAGCAAAGGCCATAAATCGTTTCAAATGGCAATTTAAGCGTTGAGTCACGATTTAAGCTTATTTGAATACAAACCTTTAAGAATGTTTTGAATATAAAATATTTTATTAAAATTTATATTTTATTTCTAGTAAAGAAAAGCTATAAAAAAAATAATACTTCTAATTTATGTGCAAACAAATTCTGTGATCGAAATATATATTCTCAAAGTAAATTCGTCTGTACACAAGCAAGTCGATATTTCTTACTCACTCTTTCAATTTAATATTTGATATTATGTATCGTAGAATGAATTCGTAAAAAATTCTGATATCAAAATCCTTTTAACAAGTTCTTGATTAAAATAATAATCAAATGAGATCTAAAAGTTTAACAAAAATAAGACAATCGTGTTACCATTTTATTAAACAAAAACGTTTATTCGATTAAAACCAATTACAGATTCAGAGTAACGATACACACTTACTCTAAAATATTATCTAATTAAATACATAAAAGACAAATACTCTCTTCATTTTATTTTATTTTATTTTATGTTTTAACAAAATAAAATAAAAAATTATTTTGATTGTTATTTTACCATATCAATTAAACATTAAAACATTTTTTCTATTATATTCTTAATTATTTATCATGAAATAAGAAAAATATAAAAAGATTATAGGTGAGAGAGAATCTAATTAATATGAAAAATAAATTATATATTTAAAAATCACATAATATTTTTTATAAAAGCTAAGATATTAATTATATTTCTTTCTGCATAAAAAAATTAAAAGTCAAACAAAATAGAAAGGCAAGAATCAGGATAGATCCATGGTCATGATAGTGTCCCCACTAAAATTTTACTCTTTTTCATTTTTATATATACTATTATTTTCTTTTTATAATATATATATATATATATATATATTATTTTAATTCACTACAGAAAAAAATTATTAAGTAGTGACACACATCCTATAGTAATACTTATGTATATCATTGTATTTAACATTTCTTGTAATGATTGTTTATGTCTAATATGTTAAAATATATTAATATTTCATTTTTATTTTATTTTATTGTCTAATTACTTTTATTTTATGACAAAATTATCTTAATTTTTTATTATTATTATAATATACTTTATTTTTTTTTTACTGAAAAATTTATTACTTTTTTAATCATTAAAGATGTCATAATTTAGTTTACAAATATAGGTTATTTTTTAATTTTTATTTTTATTTTAACCCTTTTGATCTTGTATATGTACATTGTGTGTTGTTAGGAAAGGATCTAAATTAAGAGAAATGAGATTAATTACCACACAAATTTTTTATATTTTTTTACTTGAATATATTTAATAAAAAATAAATTTACTCTTATAAGAAAAATAAGCATTATTTTCATAAAATATTTTTATTTTAGATGAATATAGAAATTTAGAGGAGACACAAAAGAAAACAAATAATAATTTTATTATCTTTATCTTAATAATTTATATCATTTGTTTCTCTAATATTAAATAAATCGCTAATAAAAATTATAAAGTAACACTTAAATATAATCTGGAAAAAAAATATTGTCACTCTATTTATAAGAAATGTTAATTTATAAAAAAAATAGATATATTAAATTTTTAATCACAAAAATATATTTTTCTAAAAAAAATTATTATATATTTCAATATAAAATATTTTATTATCCTTAATTAACAAATTTTATGGATTCATGGCAAGAATAACAATTATACCCTATATCAAATTTTGAAATGGTTTCTTATACGACATTAATTATCATCCATATGTTCAATAATTTAACTATTTATTTTTGTTAGATTCTTATTTATTTATTAATAAAAACAAATTAAATAAGTTTATTTTAGGCAAAAAAATCTATCTTTATCTATAAAACTTTCAACTTATTTATTTATGTATAATTTAGACTTATTAAGTTCTGAATATATATATAACTAAATAAATTTTAAAAAATATCTATTTTTTTATCTCCATTTAATATTAAAATCGTCTAAATCAGTACTAATTACAAGTTTGTCATTAAATAATCTAAATCATGATAACTTCTTTAGTAATTGATCAACGTCAATTAATACAATAAATCAATTTTATAAATTTTTGTATAGATTAAAAATTATATAATATTATATATTAAAATTAATATTTAATATATTTTTTTATAAATATATTAATTTAAATTAATATAATAAAATATTAAATAGTTTTCAAATTAACGTTTTTATTTAATTATGTAAATGCACATCTTATTTTTAGTTTGGTTCTTTTATTATATTTTTTGGTAATTTTGCAACTGGTCCTATTGTTTTTGGTTGAACTATGCATAGTTTAGAGAAACTAGGAAAGGTGTTGCCTCCTTATTGGGCATGGGCTTAATTACACCGAGTTAAGCGCTAGTTGTTGCCTTCCTTATGCTAAACCTCGTCAACCATTTATAGTATATTAGGAGGAGGTGCTATTTTATCCTAAATAAGGGATATGTTCCCTTTGCTTTTCTTCACCATTATGAATAATAATATATTTTCACTCCTTTTATGAGTTTAAGAGTTATGTCTTCATTGGGTTCTTAGATTGAACCTTCTTTCGTTATCAAAGATTATCATACCTTTGTGGCTAATCTTCACTAAAGTTATATATCACTCTTTATAGAGTGTGGCATCTCTTTCCATTTTATTTATTTTTCCTCTTGTATGTTTTGTTTTTGTATTTGTTCCATACTCTTTCAACTTTTGTGCTATTGCTATTAGTTTAACGTTTGTGTACTATTTTATCTTCTTCTAATTTTATCTTTATTTCTTTAAACAAAATCAACTCAAAGATTCGTAAAAACAATATGAATGACAATTGAATCATCTAATATAATGTGGTATCTAGTGCTCATATCCTAGAATTGAGAGTGTTCTTTATTGCGTGATTGTCATCATTGCATCATTAATTGTCATAATTGTGTTATATTGTCATATATTATTGTCATAATTGCATCATTAATTCTCATAAATTATTGTCATAATTGTGTATATTCAATGCATTTACATGCCTTTATTCTTATAATTTTATATTTTTGCAATTATATTTTTTACTATATAATAATAAGTGTCATATTAGAAGAAAAAAAATATTTTAAAATATGTCATGTTAATTTTTTAACGTAGTACTAATTACTAATTTTTTTTATTTATACATCCTTGTATTATGTAAAAAGTAATTGTGTTGCATCATTTCTAGTAAACAAGATTAATTATAAGGTCATACTTGTAAAATTATTATTATCTTTCATCTATTTATTAGTTTTTCTTGGTATATATAATATAATCTAGATCGACACTTATTACGGATCAGAGGAAGTATATGTTGGATGTATATTTGAACTAAACTCTTGGACGTACAATTTTTTTTTTTACTAAATTGTACTTTTAGTTTGTGTATTTTTGTCAACTCATAATTTTGGTTTTTCCATTTTAAAATAGAGACACTTAGTTCCTCTATTTTTAAATACAAAAAAAATATCCTACCATCAATTTAATGTTTATTGATTGTTAAATTTTTAACGTTTACTCGTACTTAAATGATGTGACATTTAGTAGCATGACATTTTTTTAATGATAAAACAAACTAAAAAAACATGTAAATAATTTTTTTTTTAATTTTTAATTATATATGTCACATCACTAAATATCACATCACTTAAGTAATAACAGGTCACTAGAAACATTAAAATTTAACGATCAATGAATGATAGTTGTTGCATGTGAAATGCGTTTAAAGCAAGTGTACCTTATCGTAGTAGTAATGTGAGACCCGTGGCTTTACTCTCACTCTCACTCTCTTTCACTTATTTTCTCCCAAACTCTCTTCTCCCTCACAAATTCTCTGACCTTTGTGGCTAATTTCTTTCCTCTCTAGCTGAAGCCGTGAGTGAACAAGGAGGTTCATTCTCTCAAACTTGAAACCGTTTGGAGCTAGCTGGGTGCGGATTCTCTTCTTCTTCCTGGAGCTCGTAATCGTCTCACCGAGGTAAGGGAAGCTAGGTTCTCGCTGTTTTTGGCAGTAACTGAGTCCAGGAACTCATTTGCTGTTGGATAATTGATGGTTTTTGGCTGAAATTGCTGAAGATGGGGTTTCGGGGTTTTCCGGGGTTTGATGAAAATTTGGTGATCTTTCCTTGTTTGTGGTTGCATGTTGAAAAAGTTGGTATTTTTGGGTTGTATGATGAAAATGTGATGTTTTGGACCGATTGCATGTGCCTGGGGTGTTGATTTTGCAGGTTTTGGGTGAAATTTTCGAACTAGGGAGGGTTCCTGTTTGAATTTGCACCGGGCGCAGTTCTTCGCACTAGGCGTGAGTTGAAATGGGGAATCCCGAGGTGAATCGCGCCGGGGCTCGGGGAGAACCACGCTGGGCGCAATAGACCTCTGTAGAGTCTGTAGGTCTCTGGTTGAGAATTGCGCCGGGCTCGATTTTAACGCGCCGGGCCTTAGGGCGTTCTGAATGAAAATTTTACCTGTGATTAGTTCCCTGAGAACGGGCCGTTGTAAACTCATAACGGCCCGTTCTGAAATCAGAACGGGACGTTGTGAATTCAGAACGGCCTGTTCTGAAATCACAACGGGCCGTTCTGAAG